CCTTTTGTGCTTTCCAGCATTCCAGACGCGGTTGGCAGAACCTCAGTTGAGCCTTGAGGACAATGTCTTCGGCACCTGAGAAGAAGCTTTGTGCCTGCCTCGTCGGCCTTGGCCGTGCAGGTCACTTCCACATGGAGTCCCTTGCCGCGCTGCCCCATGCAGTGCAGCTTTCCTGGGTTGTGGACGTGGACACGGAGAAGGCAAAACGGATTGCGGAGGAAAAGGGCTGCCGCTGGTCCTCCGACCTGGATGCGGCCTTGGCAGATGAAGTTGACGTAGTCATTGTGGCCTCCGCCACTGACACCCACTTCCCCTACATCATGAAGGCCCTCAGCGCCGACAAGGCGGTGCTAGCTGAGAAGCCCATTTCGCATGAGCTGCACGAGGTGATCACAGCTGTGGAGCTGGCAAAGAGCAAGAACTTGGCTTTCATGTGTGGCTACCAGCGCCGAGCGGATCGCCACTTCCGCGAGCTGAAGCGCCAACTGGACTCCGGTGCCATTGGGTCGTTGAAGATGGTGAAGATGTGCAGCCGCGACAATCCGCTTCCTCCACTGGAGTACCTTAGGACAAGGGGCGGCATCTTCCACGACATGCTGATCCATGACTTCGATATGCTTGACTTCCTCAGCGGAGGTCAGGTGCCCGAGTCAGTGACGTCCATCGGCCACTGCTACAACCCGGAGATCGAGAAAATGGAGGACATCGACACGTGTGCTGTCATGTTCAAGTATCCAAGTGGCCTCATTGCAATGGTCGACACCAGCCGCGATGCCTCTTATGGCTACGATCAGCGCATCGAGGCTTTCGGTGAGCACGGGATGCTCTCGGCCAAGAACGAGCTCACCAGCACCGTGGAACTTGCCACAGAGGCCGGGCATCTGGTTCCTACTGCCATGTTCAGCTTCCCCCAGCGATACCTCCAAGCTTACCGCTCCGAACTCACGGAGTTCATCGAACTTGTGCAGGCTGGCCGCGACAGTGAGGTCCACCGTCTTGAGCAGGCGGCGATGCTGCGACACCCCAACATTGTGCGGACCACCATTGCAGCCGAGCAATCCTGGAAGGAAGGCAAGTCAATTCAGATCTCCCAAGTTGCAGCAACCCCAGCTGTGCAAAAGTCCGGGTCGGACATCAGCTCCGCCACTCCGAGCGACATTGAGGAGGTTGACATTGACAGCCTGGACCTCACTCAGTCAAAGCTGTTCGCAACAAAGAACATGTTTGGCGATGGCTACCGTAATTATGAGACGTCCAGCAGGCAGGACAAGGTCTCGCAAACTTACAACAAAATGCACGTGAATCAGACGGTAGCTTTCGTGAAGGAGCAGCACGACTGCTGGCTCAAGTTCAACCATGGGGAGTTCACGGTGATGGAGGTCATAACCATGCTGGACGAGTTGGTGGATGACTCCGATCCCGACGTGGACATCCCAAACAGCATCCATGACTTCCAGACTGCAGAGCGCATCCGAGAGCAATGGCCTGGGGAGGAGTACGACTGGTTCCATCTGGTCGGTCTGCTGCACGACCTGGGGAAGGTCATGGCTCTGCCACAATTGGCCAAGGACGATGTCCTGGAGCAGTGGGCCGTGGTGGGAGACACGTTCCCCATCGGCTGCGCCCCTGCAGAAGAGGCCGTGGTGTTCCCGGAGTCCTTCAAGGGTAATCCCGACTACACGCATCCCATTTACGGCAACAAGTGCGGCATGTACAAGCCAGGCTGCGGCATTTCTAATCTGGTGATGTCGTGGGGGCATGATGAGTACATGTACCGGATGCTGAAGTTCAACGGCTGCACCATTCCGGAAGCAGGCCTCAACATGATTCGCCTGCACTCCTTCTATCCCTGGCACGACAAGCGAGCCTACACGCATTTTGAGGCCCCGGAAGATGCAGAGACACTGAAGTGGGTCAAAGAATTCAACAAGTTCGACCTCTACTCCAAAGGCGATGCAGTGCCAGATGTGGAGGCGTTGAAACCTTATTATGCAGGGCTTCTGAAGAAGTATGGCCTGGATGGAAAGTTGAAGTGGTGAGTCGAAAGACTCCTTGAATTTTCTCATGGCTGAGCAACTCGAACACGTGACTGGGAGCGAGTACAGACGTCGATCTCGCGGTCGGCCAATTCAGTAATTTTCAATTTTGACTCGAAGCCGAATCGTCGCACCAGAAGACCTTGGACGTTTCGAATCTCAGATTCTTGAGATGTCCTTGAGGGGTTCTGACTGTCGTTGCTTCGGTTTCAAATTTAGTGCACCTGCAGGTCTGCTGTCTAAATGGGGCTGGCGTGTGGATGTTGGAGGGGCACCTCCGTCACCCTCCTCCCACAGCCCCCCCGGCAGCCGTGCCTTTCTGCAAGAGGTTGCATGTCTGCGCTGTATCCCCAGCAGGTTCCCCTTGCAATCCCTCACAGAAGCTGGGCCGTTTGATGAGCCTGCGGCATGGATCGAAACAGGTGATGATCTTTATCAGTACCAACATTAGCGTTTTGAATCGCCATTGTTGGCAGTCACTGCTTGCAGCTCTTTTTCAATGATTGTCGTTCTTATACTTGCACAGAATTGCAAATATTGCTTCTTCCCTGATGGCTGCTGCAGCCACGGCTGCCGAGGTAGGAGGTAGGAGGAGGAGGATGACGAGGAGGAGGAGGAGGAGGAAAAGATCAGAGCGGCAGCAGCAGCCGCAGCGTCGGTGGTGCCAAGTCGGCAAGAGTCCTTCTCAGCAATTTCTCTAGGACGCAGTTCATGTTGCTCGTCGTGTCTCCTGTGGTCATCCCCAGGCGCGGGCCCAAGCGGATGCCGCAGCTCCCATCCTTCCGGCTGCGGAGGATGTTGCGTTTTGGTTTTGCTGCTATTGGTTTGCTGGTGCGGTGTTTACTGAGCACTCAAGTCTACTGCTTTTCACCTTCAAGAGATCCACAAGCCATCGCATCAAGTCGTTTTATGCAGTCCAATGAAGTCGTTGATTTGGATGATGCTTTCGATTCTTACTGTCTGTTTTATGTCTTCCATCCGGCAGTCTGAACTGCAGCCCGTAGCTTTAGGCTTCCATATGAGCTGCAGTCGATATTCCTGGAAGGGGGTTGTATGGGAGAGTGCTATAGGAGTTATTAAGGCGTATACCAAGAATTTGGCTATAGCCTATAGCCCATATTCGGAACATCAAACAAAAGCTGGTGTATACAATTCCTTGGAAGTTTTGCCCTGTGACGCCGCACTGAGTTGTATTACATATTACAAAGTCCCTGCGGTGTGGTCTCGCCGTTCACGTTGGCCAAGTGAAAAGTTACCATTTCCATATCTGGCAAGTCATGAAGGAAAAGTGTGCATTCCAATAATGACTGCTCGGCTTCAGGAGCCCCTTGATGCTCGAGGGCGAGGACGCAGGGGTCGAGGAGGCCCAGCTGCTCAAGTAAAGCTCTGCTTTTTTTTTTTTTTGTGGTGTATTTCGAATGAGTGCCGTGCATTCTACACATGCTACCAGTTCATGGAGCATGACTTTCCTTGTGTGCACCGCAGCTTGTACAGCGGGTTGGCAGCGATGCGTTGCTGGTCTCAAGAAACAGGCTGGCATTGGTGTTGAGCTGGCACGGTTCAGGATTTTCATGGTTTCATGTGCATTCCAAAGATTGCATGAGCGTTGCTTAAGGCGGAAAGAGACTGACGCGCCCATGCATGTACATCCTGTCGGCCACAAGTGTGAAGTGCTCAGCCCCCTCATCAGCTAGAATAGGGTATTGGCACTATATACTCTATATTCGGGATGTTTGTGGATATGTAGCCCCAATAAGCAAATGGAAAAGAGCATAAAGACTGAAATTGAAACTGGGCATATATGTGCATAGAAGACCCAGAGAAGCAGCCTGCCATCATTTTTCTGCGAGATATACACATCAGAAAATTCAGTGATCAAGTAAGAGGGCCGCAAGCTGCATGGACAAACCCAACTCCTCAATTCCTCAAAGTGTTGCGCAGCACTTGGGGCACCATTGGGCACCGTTTGATGCGAAGCGTTGAAACCTATATTTCCAACACTTTAGCCGTTTAAACAACAACATCGTACTGATCCCAACCATCCATACAACACCTGCAAGGTCTGATGAAATCCATGCGCAATCCTTGCACTCTCAGTTCCTCATCAATTTCACAGCCTGTATTCAATTCTCTCCCTCAGGGCTGATCCTGGCTGAGGAAATTTAATTTTGTCGCCATCATCGGACAAATTAGTTATTATTATAGTAACTTAGCTCAAAAATGGACGTGGGTCACGCAGGCGGCCGGCGCGGCCGCGGACGAGGTGTAGCACGGCCGGAAGGCGAGCCTGGGTACACGGTACAGGTTGTAACAGGGGGTGTCTCCAAAGGCAACACGTCTTGTAGGAATATTTGTATTTGTGATGACAAGACACACGAGGAAATAGTAGCGTTTCAGAAGCTTTTATGGAGATGTCCATGCGTTACACGATGAATAAGAAGGGATTCTGACACTCTTGCGGACCGCGTGGAATTTGATGAATTTATGTTGGTATGGCACTGTAGAAGCGTAGCAAGATGGGTTTTGACAGGTTTTTAAAGAAGGAGCGAGCTCTGACGCCCGTGCAAAGTCTCGAGGGCCTGGCAGGAAAGAGCCCTCCACATTTTGAACCAGAACTTCAAATCCTCAGAGCTACACCCCAAGCCCTAAAATCTGAAACCAGCACTCCAATCCCTTAAAGCAAGCCTACATCCCAAACCCTGAACACCAAGCTTCCCACACCCCGCATTTGAAAAACTTCTCAAAATCACAACTCTACACCCTAAACCCCGAACCCTAAATTTCTTGGCTACCCAGGCCTAAACTCGCAAGGTATGAGGGATCCTTGTAGCCCCTATGTAATGCCCTAATACAGTAGTTTCCATATCCCTTATCCTTCCTTTCATGCATTCATTCAGTCTCTGTAACCAGAGATTTGTATTACAACCCCTATATATAAGCCAGTTTCCATTTCCTTTTCCCGAATGCGTAGCAGAAGGGTTCCCGGTTTAAAGCTGGGGTCCAGGGGTCCAGGAGGCGACGCGAGGTCGTTGCGTTTGTGGACGCAAGCGTTCGCAATTGTTCGCAATGGTTGGCAATCGTCCGCAAGCGTTCGCGGAGGGTCGGACATGCCGGAGAGTCGCAAATCGTCGCGAAACGCAGAACTGTCGTCACTTTTTACGCTTAGGGATCGGGGGGGTCGTGTTCGCGAAACGCAGAACTGTCCTTACTTTTGGACTCGTCTCGTGTCTTCGCGTCTCAGAAGTGTCAACAGTCACAGGGATCGGGGGGGTCGTGGTCGCGAAACGCAGAACTGTCGTCACTTTTGGACTCGTCTCGGGTCTTCGCGTCTCAAAAGTGTCAACAGTCACAGGGATCGGGGGGG